GTTATAGTATTTGCATTCCATCAACAAGGTATTAAGTTTAATAACAAAGATCAAACTAAAAAGAAAAATACCGAAATAATATACAGAAAAATATCATTTCTCACATTAATATACTTAAAGAAAGCCATTTTATGACTGTAGAAGGAATGATAGTTCCTACAGAAGGATGGGCAGATGAAAGTTTTGGATTGGGAATAAGTATACAGTGAGTCAGAGGAGTTATGCTCTTGCTTCCCATAACAATCAGCATTACCTAGGTCTGCAGCTTCCATGTCTTGCTTCTTAATAACTACATGAGCTCAAAACATGTCAAGCAAAATGTTTGAATGAATGGAAACACTAATTATCACAGTGTGTGATTCCACATGGGTATAGCGGCCACAACTTGATTCTGAGTGTATTCCTTCTTTGACATTTACCTTATTTTTTGAGGGTCTCACAATAAAGCTGAAGTTCAGGACGGTCAGACAGAATGACTAGATAGCAAGATCTAGAGAAGCTTCTTTTACTACCTCAACAGTTCAGAGAATATAAGGATAAGTCATCACCAACAGCTTCAGAGTTAAGTGCTAAAAATCAACCTGAAGCATTCGTTATGTGAGGCAGGCACCTTACTACTGAGCCATAGCCTCAGACCTAAATTATAGCACTATTGCTAGTAAACATTAATAAAAATGTTGTAAACTATGTAAATAGCATATACATCATATAATAATTTTTGAAAGAAAAAGTATTATCAATTCTGGATTTTCAAACCATTTATTGTCGATATGAAAATGAATGTCACAAGTTTGGTCCCAAAATTGGTTGTAAATCTATGCCTGTTATGGAGTTGGGCAAGTTGTGAAAGAGGAAAGACATGGAAAGAGACGAGGGAAGAAAATAATGATCAGAATTTATTATATGAAAAAAATATTTCAAAGTTTTAAGAACTCTGTATGAGATGTTTGGGAATGAAGATGCACACTTTGGTTCATTCACCAGGGAGACAGTACCATGGTTCAATATCAGCTTGGTCTGCATAGTGAGATCAAGTCAACCAGAGTGACCCTGTGAAAAACACTGGAAGAAATAAATTCAGTCCCTTTGGTTATGAACAAGTATTTCGACATGTGGATATGGTAGTTGTGGAGGTGATGGTGATGGTGGTAGTGTGTGTGTGTGTGTGTGTGTGTGTGTGTGTGTGTGTGTGTGTGCACGCAGTGTGTGTATGCATCTGTGTCTGTGTGTGTGTGTTTGGATGTGTAATTATATTTGTGACCATATCTGTAAATTTGATTGTGTTTGAGTGTGAATGTGTGTGTTGCAGATTGTGGCTGTACCTGAAAGTGTAACTGTATGTGTGCATTTGGTTGCAATTATATACACTGTCACCATTCTCAACCCATTCTCTCATCAGAAAAAAATTTAAGCTATTCAAGTCTGCTACCTATTGATGTAGTCAGCTACATGGAAAGGAAAGGGTTTGTGTAATCTTAAATAGTACAGACCACCATGGAGGAAAATTAGGATGTAAAATCAAGACAGAAACCTGAAAGTGGGAACTGAATCAGAGTTCAGAAATAAATTCAATTCATAGACTTGTTCTCCATGATTGGGCAGCCTGCTTCCTTATACAATGCACGAACACCTACCCATGGATGGCAATGTCTACATCTGTCTGGTTCCTCTTACATTAGATATTAATCAAGACGATGGCTTCACAGTCTTGCCTGTATACCAATATAATGTAGGTATTTTTTTCCAAATTAATTTCCTTTATCCATGATGAACCTAGTTTATACCATGTAAAAAGATTCTGATCAACACATAAGTGGACAGGCTGGTACTGTTATTTCTACATGACCCACTAAGTGAGTATCCATCAATCCACTCTACATAATTAAACAAATGCCTGAACAAATTCTTAAGAATAAGGATACACCTCTCAAATAGAAGATAATAATAAATAATGTGTGACTTTACCATCAATGAATTCCCTTTGCAAATGCTGTTTTCCCAGTGACATCCTTCTTGAGAATCTCATTGAAACAAAGAAACCCAAGGTGTAAGAGAGTATGGAATATGGACACAAACTCTTTAGGAGTTTGCAGGAAATTGGCCCACATAATTTCAAAGAGAGTGATAGTTTTAAGACATGTGTCATTGCTGGAGTGGGCACAACCTGGTTGGTGGAAATGTGTCACTGTCGAGGGTAGGCTTTGAGTTTTTCTATGCTCAGGATGCTTTTCAGTCTGTCAATTGACTTCTTATTCCTTGAAAAATGTTGGACTGTCAGCTTTTCCTCCAGCATCATGACTTCTTGCACACTGTCATTCTCCTGCCATGATGAGAATGGTCTGAACTTCCGGAGCTCCAGGAAAACCTCCTGAATTATATGATTTCCTTATAACATTTGTGGTAATGCTGTCTTTTCACAGAAATGGAAACCTGATGGAGGAGGGTTATCTGTCTATTGTGTTATTTTCATTGGTCAATAAAGAGACTGCCTTGGCCCTCTGATAGGACAGAAAATTAGGTAGGCGGAGTAAACAGAACAGAATGCTGGGAAGAGGGCGTCTCCATGAGGCAGACGCCATGGAGCCAGCCACCAGGTCAGACATGCTGAATCTTTTCCAGTAAGCCACCACCTCGTGGTGCTACAAGAGTATTAGAAATGGGTTAATATCGAGATATGAGAGTTAGTCAGTAACTAACTCTCTAGAGATAATGGGCCAGGCAGTGCTTAAATGAATACAATTTGTGCGTTGTTATTTCTGTGACTAAGCTAGCCGTGCGGGAGCTGGGGCAGGATGAAAAGCAGGCCTGCCTGCAGCCCCTCACAACAAATGGCGCCCAACGTGGGGCTCGAACCCACAACCCTGAAATTAAGAGTCTCATGCTCTACCGACTGAGCTAGCCAGCCAGTTTTGATCAAGAGAGGCCACCTGAAAAATCTCTGACAGGAACAGATGGCCCAGATGTCTAAATTCTACATCCAAAACAGATTCAAGACTGTCGCCTGAGATGATCGAGACTCACAGGATACTCCAGTCAGGACTTGAACTATAACTATAAGTTTTCTTTAGGTCCCCATAAGATCATCAGTGCCCCCAACCAGCAGGAAGTAGCCTGAAATACTACGCCAACATTCCCAACAAATGGACTATGGGTATTTTTCTTTGTTTAAAAGAAAAAGAGGGAAATGGTGCAGGAGAATTATCTGTATTCTGTCAATCATATTTTAATAAAACGCTGATTGGCCAGGCAGGCAGTATAGGTGGGAAAACCAGACAGGAAGTAGAGGTGATGGAATGAGAACAGGAGAATTCTGGGAAGCAGAGAAGTTCCTCTGCCATTCCTGTGCAGACCACTGAAGAGGCAGCATGTAACTTGCCCAGCTGAGAAAGGTACGGACCCATGTGCTAACATAGATAATGATAATGGATTAATGTAAGTTACAAGGACTAATAAGGAGCCTGATCTGATGGGCCAATCAGTTTTATAATCTTATGGAGTCCTGTGTGTAATTTCTCTTTGGGATTTGCCGGCTGTTGGGGTACCGGGCGGGACGGGAACCCCAACAAGCCGGCCCTCATGCTACAGAAACCTAACTTAAACAATATCTCTGAAATAACTAAGCACCAAAAATATTTGAATAAGTGGATTTATACCTAGTTCCCCAATATAGTATAAGAAATGTGCATTTGTTTCTGAGACACTCCTTTCCAGATTATTCTAACCTCAATTAAAATATGAAACAAACCCAAGTTGAAACATACTAAGCATCATGTCTGAAAAAATGTTTTTTTTTACCCTGAAGCATTAAAAAACACAGGGAACATTGAGCTCATACTGTACATGATGTTCAGTGCTTTCTCAGGATGGCTGTCTCCTTAAAGTGAAAACATAATGTGCAACTCACTGTAAAAAGTGAAAGACTATGAATAAAGAAATAATGGACACAAACTGTGACATCTCTAATGCCAAGTTAGATAGACATTTCCTGAGTCTTGAATGAAAAGGTTGGTTACAGCTCTGCAGTTCTCTTCCTTGGTGATTTGCATTAACAAGACACAGAATAAGACACTAGAAACTCTTGTTATCTATGCCTTGAATATCGTTCACGTCACAGTGTTCCCCATGTTCATATCTGCCCTCCATTCAACTTCTTGTCATCACTTAATGTTCTCTTTCTTGCTATTACTTCAGAGAACATACCCCTCAATCCTGGGTGCAGGCTATTGTTTTTATGAAGTGTTATGAAATAGATTACTTTCCCATAAATTATCAAAGCAACAGTCATATTTAGGAACCTGAGATTGGATACAAGCTGAGGAGAGTGACAGAAAATATAAAAGTGCACGGACAGACTGATATAAACCAAGAGAAACATAAAACTAATGTCCAGGAAAAATATTCATAAGGGAGAAGGTGAAATTGAGCCTAATAAGATGGGACCCAGATCAGTCCCACGTATTTTCTTACAGATAAACTCATGAAATCATATGGATGATGTGTGTGTGAACTCCTTTTTCACAAGATATTTCCTGAGAAGTTATAAGAATGAGACAACTCCACAGACATCAAGAAAAAGAATTTGAAGTAGTTCCTTAAACAGAATTTCTGATCACCAAAAGTACCAATATCATTTAAATTCAATACTGGAAGTTACAGAGATATATAAATCTGTTGAGAGCCTGGTATTCTCCTCTGCCTGCATTGAATGAATATGGACCTAGTTAATGTTAACACTTCCTTGTTTTGCTTCTAAGGCCTTTACAGTATGACTCTTAGTATTTCCTGTTTTGCTGGAATTGGAAATTTAGAAAGCATCACAGCAATGTTCTTGTGGTTCAATATTGAGTATATCTAAGACACACAAAGCAAATCTCAGTTTCCTGGAGGAGAAATTGGAAACATTGCCTGTGCTTCTTTTTATGGTCTCTGGTACCTCCCCTAATGCAAAGCAGTCCTCAAGCTCAGGATGAAATCCAAGCCCACAGTGAGAGGCCCCATCTCCTTCTGACAAGAGCCTCCAACACAGCATGGCTGTCCAGGTGCTGCTTCTCTGCCTGGTGATATTTCCAAGTTGTAAGTGCTTCAGGGATTCAGGAAAGGGTGTCAGGTTTTTCACCTATGGGTTATATGACTGATGGTGTTGTTGCTTGTCCCTAGGTGCCCTGTCCCAGGTACAGCTGAAGGAGTCAGGACCTGGCCTAGTGCAGCCTTCACAGACCCTGTTGCTCATCTGCACGGTCTCTGGATTCTCATTAACCAACTATCATATAAACTGGGTCCGCCAACTCTCAGGAAAGGGTCTGGAGTGGATAGGAATAATATGTTATGATGGAAGCACAAATTATAATTCAGCTCTCCAGTCCCGAATCAGTATCACCAGGGACACCTCCAAGAGCCAAGTTTTCTTAAAACTGAGCAGTCTGTAAACTGAGGACACAGCCATGTATTACTGTGCCAGACACACAGTGAGAGAACTCCTGTGTGAGCTTGGACAAAAACCTCCATATGGAGAAACGACCAGCAGAGGGTGTTGGGGACCAACAGGTTCTGCCAAGACCAGTATGTGGTTGCTTAATAAGATAAGAATAGTTCCTGTGTTTCAATAGCCTGCCTGCGGAAAAGTAGGCCTTCTGTTAGTGAGGTCCCTGCCCAACAAGGGAACCTGACCCAGTATCAGAAGATCCAATAGAGAGCATTTGAAGGAAGAGATGGGGAGACGCCAAGGCAAGAATTCCCCTAACAATATGAAAAACAACATGAAAACACCAGATCCCAGCGGTTCAATCCCAGAAGAACTTGAACACCTTAATCCAGAAGAAGTGGAAAAAGGGCCATTATGAAAGCAATTGAGTCCTTTAAACAGGATATGAATAATTCCCTTAAAGAATTGGATGAGTGTCAGATCAGCAACATTACTGGCCAGCAAGGGGCACTAAGCTTCTGGAGGACATACATCGGAGGGGTGACTTTGCTCCTGGCCCGTGGCAGAAGCCCGACTAGGAGGAGTTCAGACTTTCCCTGTCTGCTTTGACTCTCTGGTCACCCTGCAGTGATGGCTCCACCCTACTAAGCTCTCCCATCTCCCTTCCATCCCAGCTTTCATCCAGGTACACCTTCTTTTTTCCTCCCTTCCCCCCTGGGGCCATAAAATTTCCCCAGCTCAGCTTTCTTGCATGCTGGGCCTGGGTGGGAAGTACAACCCTGCAGGATACAGTTCCTGGGTTTAAATAGCCTGCCTGAGGAAAGGTAGGCCTTCTGTCAGTGAAGACCTTGCCAAACAAGGGAATCTGACCTGATATCAGAAGATTCAATAGAGAGTATTTGAAGGAAGAGATGGGCAGACGCCAAGGCAAGACCTTGTCCAACAATCTGAAAAACAACATGAAACACCAGATGCCAACAACCCTACAGTAGAAGGACTTGAACACCTTAATCCAGGAGAAGTGGAAAAAAGTGCCATTCTGAAAGCAATAGAGTCCCTTAAACAGGATATGAATAACTCCCTTAAAGAATTGGATGAGAAGTATAACAAAAAGTTTGAAGAAATGAGTAAAGAAATGGATGAGAAGTATAACAAAAAGTTTGAAGAAAGGAATAAATCTGTGAATGATACCTTGGGAAACCAAGAAAAAACAATCAAACAGGTAATGGAAACAGTTCAAGAATTTTAAACTGAAATGGAGGCAATGAAGAAAACACAAACCGAGGGTTGGCTGGATATGGAAAATCTCGGTAAACAAACAGAGACTACAGAATCAAGCATAACTAACAGGATACAAGAGATGGAAGAACGAATCTCAGAGTCTGAAGATACCAAAAAGAAAATAAATGCTCTGATCAAAGAAAATGGCAAATCCAACAAATTCTCATCACTAAACATTCAACAAATCTGGGACACAATAAAAACAACAAATCTAAGAATAATAGGGATTGAAGAAGGAGAAGAGCTGCAGATCAAAGGCCCAGAAAATATATTCAACAAAATTATAGAAGAAAACTTTCCCAACCTAAAGAACGATATTCCTATGAAGGTTCAAGAAGCATACAGAACACCGAATAAACCTGATCAAAAAAAAATCATTCCCTCGCAATATAATAATCAAACCACAATATGTTCAGATTAAAGAAAGAATATTAAGAGCTGCAAAGGAAAATGGTCAAGTAACCTATAAAGGTAAACCTATCAGACTTACATCGGACTCTCTATGGAAACCATGAAAGCCAGAAGGTCCTGGATAGATGTTCTGCAGAAACTAAGAGACCATGGATGCAAACCCAGACTACTATACCCAGCCAAGCTATCATTCACTATCAATGGAGGTAACAAAATATTCTAGGATAAAAATAAGTATAAACAATTCGTAACCACAAATCCAGCCTTACAAAAAATAATAGAAGGAAAATCGCAACTGAAGGAAGCCAACACTGCCTACAATAACCCAGACATCAAGCGACCCTTCACAATCACAACTCAAAGAAGGGAAACACACAATCTCTACCACGCACAAAAAAAGCAAAAATAAAAAAAAATACAAGCCGGAGTCAACAACCACTGGTCATTAATATCACTTAATATTAATGGACTCCAATCACCTATAAAAAGGCACAGACTAAGAGATTGGATACGAAAACAGGGCCAACACTCTGCTGTTTACAAGAAACACACCTCAACCACAAAAGCAGACATCTACTCGGGGTAAAGGGTTGGGATAAAGTTTTCCAAGCACACAGACCTAAGAAACAAGCAGGTGTGGCCATTCTAATTCCCAACAAAATTGACTTCAAACTATAGTCAATCAGAAGAGATGTAGACAGACATTTTCTACTCATAACAGGAACAATTCATTAGGAGGGAGTCTCAATCCTGAATATCTATGCCCCTAATATAAAAGTACCCATTTATGTAAAAGAAACACTTTTAGAACTCCAGGCAGTCATCAAACCACAGATACACTAATAGTAGGAGAATTCAACACATCTATCTCACCAATAAACAGGTCAATCAGACAGAAACCCAACAGAGAAATAAGAGAATTGATAGAGGTAATGAATCAAATGGACTTAACAGATATCTATAGAACATTCCAAACAAACAGGAAAGAATATAGCTTTTTATCTGCAGCTCATGGAACCTTCTCGAAAATTGACCATATACTCGGTAACAAAGCAAACTTCCACAGATACAAAAAATTATTAGTAACCACCTGTGTCTTGTCACACCACCATGGATTAAAGTTAGAATTCAACAACAATGCTACCACCAGAAAGCCAACAAACTCATGGAAGTTGATCAGTCAACTACTAAATCACCCCTGGGTCAAGGAAGAAATTAAGAAAGAAATTAAAGTCTTCCTTGAATTTAATGAAAATAAAGACACAACATACTCATACTCAAACCTATGGGAAAGTGCTAAGAGGAAAGTTCATAGCACTAAGTGACCTATTAAAGAAAACGGAGAAAGCACACATTAGAGACTTAACAGTACACTTGAAAGCTCTAGAAAAAAAAAGAAGCTGATTCACCCAGGAGGAGTACAAGACTGGAGATAATCAAACTGAGGGCTGAAATCAACAAAATAGAAACACAGAAAACAATCCAAAGAACCAATGAAACAAAAAGTTGGTTCTTGGAAAAAATCAAAAAGATTGACAAACCCCTCTCCAAAGTAATCAAACGGCAGAGAGAAAACAAGCAAATTAATAAGATCAGAAATGAAAAGGGGGACATAACAACAGACATAGAGGAAATTCAGAGAATCATTAGATCTTACTACGTAAGTTTATATGCCACAAAGTTGGAAAATGTACGAGAGGGTTAGAGAGAAGGGAGTAGGGGAGGAATAGGTAAAGCTAGGTGGCCTGGGATGGGGGGAGGGAGGAAGGATGAATATGGGATCAGGGAAGAATATATTTCAACTAAGGGAGTCATTTTAGGGGTTAGAGGAGACTTGATTATATATGGGATCCCAGGTCCAAGGAGAGATCCCCAGATTGTTCTCTGGACAGAGAAGAGGGTGCCTGAACCGGCCTTGACCAATAACCACACTGATGAATATTTTGCTTATCACCATAGATCCTTCATCTGGCGAAGGATGGCGATACAGACGGCGACCCACATTGGAGCACCGGACTGAGCACCCAAGGTCCAAATGAGGAGCAGAAGGAGGAAGAACATGAAAAAGGAAATCAGGACTGTGAGGAATGCTCTCACCCACTGATACAAGGGGACGGATCGAATGAGAGTTTACCAAGGCCAGTTGGACTGGGACTGAACGAGGACGTGATCTAACCAGATTCTCTGAATTTGGCCGGATTCTCTGAATGTGGCTGGCACGAAGTCTTTCTGAAAAGCCATTGACTATGATACTGGGATTGTTTCCTCTGCATATACTGGATTTTGGGGATCCAGTCTGTTTGGATATTCACCTTCCTAGACCTGGAGGGAGGGGGGAGGAACTTGAACTTCCCACAGGGCAGAAACCCTGACTGCCCTAAGGGATGAAGAGGGAAGAGGAGAGGGAGTGGGGGGAGTGGGAGGGTGTTGGGAAGAGGGGCGAAAATGGAAACTTTAATAATTTAATAAAATTACTTTCAAAAAAAGATGAAAATTTAAAAAAAAGATCAGAAATGAAAAGGGGGACATAACCACAGACACAGAGGAAATTCAGAGAATCATTAGAACTTACTACAAACGCCTGTATACCACAAAATTGGAAAATATAAAAGAAATGCACATTTTTTAGATAAATACCACATACCAATGTTGAACCAAGACCAATTGAACAATCTAAATATACCTGTCAGTCGTGAAGAATTAGAAGCTGTTATCAAAAATCTCCCTACAAAAAAAGCCCAGTAACAGATGATTTCAATGCAGAATTCTACCAGATCTTCTAGGAAGAGCTAATACCCAGATTCCTTAAAGTATTTCACAATATAGAAACAGAAGAGTCATTGCCAAACTCTTTTTATGAAGCTACAGTTACCTTGATACCAAAACCACACAAAGACACAACCAAGAAAGAGAATTACAGACCAATCTCACTCATGAACATTGATGTGAAAATTCTCAATAAAGTACTGCCAAACCGAATCCAAGAACGCATTAGAAAAATTATCCATTATGATCAAGTGGGCTTCATCCCAGAGATGCAGGTTTGGTTCAGCATACACAAATCTATCAATGTAATCCATCACATAAATGAACTGAAAGAAAAAAAAAACATATGATCATTTCATTGGATGCTAAGAAATCATTTGCCAAAGTTCAACATCCCTTTATGATGAAGGTGTTGAAGAGATTGTGGATGCAAGGACCATACCTAAATATAATAAAAGCTATTTACAGCAAGCCGACAGCTAATATCTAATTGAATAGAGAGAAACTTAAAGCCATTCCAGTAAATTCAGGAACACGACAAGGCTGTCCACTTTCCCCATACCTATTCAATATAGTG